TGTGCAAAGATGGACAACTCGATAGTTGGTGGCCCTTTGACAAACAATTTATGCAAAGGCCCATCTTCTTTGCGTGGTCAAAACGCACACATTAAGTGCCTTGAAGCGATCGCAACTATGTATTTTGTGACTGTTGCTGGAGCACATCGAACATGACGGACTCGAACAAGCAAATTAATGGCTCTTGTGATGATTCTTTGCTTTGGGCGCTTTCGCAGCAATTTGGTGTACGGATCCAACGGCGCGAGAGTTATCAATTGAGTCGAGGTACTGGCAATGTCTCTCCAAAACCTTGGTGCACTCGTTCCAGGTCGGTAATGTGTTAAATTCTAGAGACTACTTCCATTTACGGTTTGTCTCCTCATCTGCCTTCTGTAAAACTAAATAAATAAGCATGGCTTGTGAAATTTGGCCCTCTGTGCCCAATGACAATAATGAGCCGTAAAGCGCGGACGCTTTGTCAATGAGACTTCTCAACTGGGCGCCATTGGACTTGGAAACTGACGAAAGTTCAAACAACGAACATATGTTTTCTAAAAATATTAAGGTTGCATTGTCATACCGAACCTTAAGTCTATCCAATGCCTTCGTATAGTTTTCATTAGAAACTGAAAACGCATCAATTGTTTCTAACGCTGGACCCTGGAGACAATTGCGTAAATGATTAAATTTCTCTATGTTTGAGAGGCTATACTCACGGTCAATTATTTGCTTAAAGGATGTTATGAAATTTGTATATTCAGAATATTTACCGCTGAATGAAGGAAGCTTAAGTTTGGGAAGTTTAGAACTTGCTTGCATGACACAAGTGCTTTCTGAAATTGTGGCGTTGTGATCTTCAGTTAGTTGGGTCCGAATGGTCAACTTCATTGTGATGTATAGCTCCTCTAGGTCTGCACGACCACCATCCTCCGAATCCAGCCTTTCGATGTCGGTTTGGGTAGACAACACATTCTTGAAGTACGATTCAAGAATTCCAAGCCGACATTTATACTCAGCTACGGAGAGTGTTTTAACACCTGGTCGTAGACTGGCCTCAACGATGTTTTTGATGCGGGAAATATTCTTCTTGATATTAGCCCTTTGTTGTTTCGACTCTTCTAGAGACATTTTAAATAGAGTGAGAAATTAGCGAAAATTTACGTATGCACATGATGTGTGTTTTAATACGACAGCGATCAATAACAACAACGAGTGTCAGTAACAACGGCAGTTGAATTTAACGAATATTCGCGAAATGATCTTTGGATGACCTCTAGAGCAACGGGACACTGAGAGTAACGACAAATGGCAAATCCCGCTTAAATGTTTTTGGGTAGCAGTGACAAGTTAGGCAGCGAAGTCAGCGAGTGCAAACGATACAGCTGAGCTGCAGCGAAGGCGATGCAGTGGCGACGGTGACAGCGACGGTATGTCAAGCAGCAGCAGTACGGAAATGTACCAAATGCAGCGAAAAAATATGTGTGTAAACTTACGGTTAACCCAGTGATGCCAGACATTCTCTGTTAAAATTCCCACGAAAATGGGGAAAAAATCCCTCAATTACCCACATCTTGAAAATTTATCCCACATAATTCCCAACGAATTTAAACATATACATGTTTCAGTAGTAAAGAAGTAAAATTCATATAAAATAATAATAATAGTTTGGCGCTTACACATATGTGCTTTTCCTCCAATTTGTGGTGGTCCCCTTGATGTTGTCACACAAAGGGAGGGACCTACAGTTTTACGCCGACTCCGAATGGCGAGTGTATTTTTATGAGAAGCTGTTTTTCATGGCAGGAATACACTCGGAGGTTTGCCATTGCCTGCCGAGGGCCGACCGCTGTTAAGAAAAAACACCTTTTTCTGCATTTTTTTCACTCATTCATTTTTTCACTTTCATTTTTTTGCTCACTCACTAAGGGCCTAAAAGAATTTTTTGGTGACTTTAAAATTGAAGCACATTCATGTGCTATTTAACATTTCATCAGATAATTTGTTCCGCTTTTTACATGAAACACAAGTTACAACTGAAAAGATTCTTTCTTACTCAGCGCTTGAATTGGTTAACGTAAGAATATTTTCAAAATTGTCCTTATACTTTTTAACAATTATATACCATTTCACTCCACATCACATCTTCAGAACGATTAATTACGTAAGAATGTCGAATGTTCTTGAATTTTAATCAATTATGCAACAATAACTGCGTCAAAAGAAAATCCCTTATTTATATGAAATGTCCCTTTTTTCCCTTTTAATAATTTTTGATGCAAAATATCCCTCAAATAGGGAAATTACCCACAAACTGGCATCACTGGGTTAACCCACAGCGATGATAAAACGAAATCGCAGCAACGACTAGGGTTTGCAGCGTGAGTGAAATAGAGTATGCGAACGTCAACGTACAACAGTGGCGACGGCAGCAGCTGAGCAGCAGCGTATGATGGTGGCAGCGAAACAGAGTGCAATGGCAACGATAAGCCAAATAACAGCAGCACGCAAGTTTACCAACTGCAGCGAAACAATGTATGCGTACACTTGCCGTTGGCGCAGCGACGAGAAAACGAAATCGCAGCAACGATTAGGCTTGCAGCGGCAGCGAGCTAACGTATGCGAACGTAGGCGTTTAACGAAGCAGCATTAGCGACGGCAGCAGCGTATGATGGTGGCAGCGAAACAGAGTGCAATGGCAACGATAAGCCAAATAACAGCAGCACGCAAATTTACCAACTGCAGCGAAACAATGTATGCGTACACTTACCGCTGGCGAAGCGACGAGAAAACGAAATCGCAGCAACGATTAGTGTTTGCAGCGGCAGCGAGCTAACGTATGCGAACGTTAGCGTTTAACGAAGCAGCAGTAGCGACGGCAACAGCGTATGATGGTGGCAACGAAATTTATGTCGCAAACAATGCAAAATATATGAAGCGCTCCGATGTCCAACAGTGGGGTCCCACGGCGCAAGCCTCCAGCGATGGTGATGGTGATGATGGTAAAGAGCCAAGTGAAGACCACCAAGAGCAAAAACGCGACAAAATAATTTGTTTAAAAATAAATTTAAGCGCGAGCAGCAAATAGTTTTTTTCCTTTAACGCCCAACGTGGGGCCAAAAAATGTAGGGGGTTTAAAGAAGAGTTTTTCTAAACCACAATTTAACAAACCGTATTAGAAAAGATTTATTATCTCATTTGAGCTGTGCAATTAAATTATGCGAAATGAGCAAAGTTACCGAAAATGAACTTAACACGTCTTGGTGGTCAACAGAAGACTAATTTATTTTATGTTCTCAACTCATATTATATGTAATTCAAGCTAAATATGATGTTAGTATGTATGTATATTCACATAACAGTAGTAGGTGGCGTGATACAACAGTGAAATTCCAATGAGAGTTTAACTTTAAATATTTATGTACATATGGATGTAAGCATGCATACGTAGTATATACATATGTATAAGTACAATTAGTTGTGTTAGATTGACATATAAGTATGTAAATGTGTGTATATCTCTTTGTACAATTGAGAGTGAGCGTGAATGTAATTCATTGGAGTTATTGAATGCAATTATTTAAATGAGTATTAAGTAAATGAGTGTTCAGGTGTTCTTAACGTAAGGCAGCTTGCAGGGTGTCTCGTTAGGTGACCCAACAGGTGTCATTATTCCACCTTCGACTTATACTAGGTTCACATATAAGTAGATTATCCTAATTTTCGAGCTTAACACCCTAATCTGTAATTATAACAAGAGATTAGCCATATAAAATTCGTCCCTTGTTAATCTGTAATTATAAAATAATCTCAGATTTAACCGATAACTTTTCGGTGTCCATCCTAGTTTTATCGATTGTTTTTGCGAAAGAGAGGAGAAATGCCAAATGTAAAAGTAAACAAAAATGTACGCTAGCAAGTAAAAGAGGTTTGTAAAGGTATTTTTAATAAAATGTTAAGTTAAAATATATTTATATTGCTTATTATAGCAGAAAAACGTGATCACGGGGGCACAGAGAAGAAACATAACTTTTCCTTGCGATGTGAGAATAACAAGCACAACAAATTTGACGGCTAATAATCTGAGATTTGCCTGTGTAAACGGGGTGATTAAAAAACGAGCTTTGATTAAGATAATATTGATATGTGAACATAGTTTTAGGCTTAAATTAAGGCTTGGACTTCTGACTTCAATCCCTGAAAATACCATTTCTGCACCTTGACCCTAAGGTCACCTATAGTCATTTATTGAACAGCCAACACTGATTTTTACACCCCTTTTTCAATTGTATAATTTTCCAGTATTTTTTTTTTTATTGTTGGACAATAAAAAGTAAATGAGTATAGGTGACTATCAGGACAAGGTGCAGGAATAGTACTTTCAGGGATAGTAGTCTGTAGTTCTAGCTTTACTCTAAGCTTAAGTGGAAGGTTCTATCACCTTTTGTGTCATTGCTAGAGCTTCTCAAATATTGCAAAAGACGAAATTTTTTGACAAGTTCCCCACATTTTTCCCAAAATCTGGAGCTTATGGAAACTTTATACTTACGAATTCTTAATCAGCACAAAAAAGCCTATCAAAAACAGCATTAACATTTGCTGCATCAAAATCGGTGTTGCCCAGTGTTACCTACACTAATTATATAAAGAGAAGCTCTTTATTTTTATAAGAGGTGATCTCGCGAACGGCTGTACCAATTTTTTGAAATTTTGGACACCTACTGCAGACTTTCGATATATTAAGGGAGCGTGGCATCACCCTTACATACCGTATAACTCCGGAAGTATTTGTGGTAGTGCCCTGGAAATCGGTATAGAGATTTTTGGGCTACTGGAAAAGGGGGCGTGGCGCTTTCCAAACATATTCATAATTTTACCCATCTGCAAATATATAAACCTAGAATATAGTGTTTTTTTTTCTTTTTCATAATACATTTTTTTGTTAATTTTTTATAGAAACATAGTTCATTTGGATCAAATGGCACCAAATGTTGAGTATTCAGTTTTGTAGTTCACTCAATCTCAGTATCATAAAGTGCAAGTTTTAAATGGCTATAAGTTACCGTTGATTTTTGAGAATTTTTTTCGCTGATGATGTTGCGTATTTTCTCCGTATAACGAATGCATGATAGTTTTTTTGTATGGGTAAAAATGCTGAAGAGCGTCAGTATGTAAAAGACTTATTCTGGTGGTTTAACTCCTCCTAAACGACCGAAACGATTTTAATGATATTTTTTAATGATAATTTTTAGTGGCGCTGTAGCCGAGTTATCGTCGATTCGGAGGCACCAAGGATCAAAGAAAAATTACTCCCGATAAATCAACCATCACAACCATTGCGCTCCTTGCTTTACGGTAGCTAAACAGAATGTGGACCAATGATACTCACCAGTTTGGAAATTGCCATCAACTATACTATACAGATTCAAGGACGATTCGCTATCGAGCCGCAAGGACTTCTTCCTGGTATAACGCTTTCGTCAGGTTATTTAAGACGGCAATGGAGGATATGTCTTCTGTCAAACACAAAACCAAACGTGAACGTGAATTGCTGGCGAAAACGTTGGACGAAATGTTTCAATAAAAAAATTAATTTTGGGTGGGACGAAGTTCGCCGGGTCTGCTAGTTTTCAATAAAACAACTATTTGTATAATAATTTTTATTCTATTTATAATTTTAAGATTAATCTACTATATATTTGTGAAAGTAGGTATGTATGTATGTATGTATGCATGTATGTATGTGCCAGATTGCAGTTTAAACCGACGGACAGAATCGAACAAAATTTTTACAGAGTATTGCCATTACACCTGGGCCTATAAGAGGGTGAAAAAATTGGGATCCGACAAGATTGCGTGGCACCTCCCATAGGCGTGAAATTTTTAATCAGCCATAATTTCCAGACCATAAGTCACATGAACTTGAAACTTGTATGCAGACATGTCAATGGTAGATGCTTATAGGCGGGTATATATAATCGAGTTTGTAAAAGGGGGCGTGGCACATCCCATAGGCGTGGAATTTCTTATCAGCTACAACTTCGGAACCATAAGTGACTCGAACTTGAAATTTGGTATGCAAATGAAATTTGGTATGCAATGGATATGCTTATAGGAGGGTATATATAAACGAGTTTGTAAAAGGGGGCGTGGCATATAACATTGGCGTGGAGTTTTTTATCAGCTATATCTACGGAACCACAAGTCACACGAACTTGAAATTTAGTATGCAGACATACCAATGGTAGGTGCTTATAGGAGAGTATATATAAACGAGTTTGTAAAAGGGGGCGTGGCGCATCCCATAGGAGCGGAATTTTTTATCAGCTATAACTTCGGAATCATAAGTCACACGAACTTGAAATTTGGTATGCAGACATACCAATGGTAGTTGCTTATAGGAGGGTATATATAAACAAGTTTGTAAAAGGGGGTGTGGCACATCCCATAGGCGCGGAATTTCTTATCAGCTATTACTTCGGAACCATAAGTCTCACGAAATTTAAATTTGGTGTGCAGGCA